ATCCTCCTTCCTGGAGGTGCTGTCCTCTTCAGACAACACAGTCCCAGAAAGAGATGCTCTTGTGGCTGACGTCATCAACACTGCTGCAGAGGACATTGCAGTCAATAGGAATGCTGTTGATCCCCTGCCTGGCAATCTCTCCTCCCCTGAATCAGTCTTGGATGCAACACCAACAGGATTTCTGAACCTGGGCTTCTCTGAAGAAGATTCATCCCAGAAGCCAGACATTCCCAGTGACCAGCCCCGGGTGGCACCTACAACATCTGGATCCAGGCCATTCAGGGTCTGGAAACTGGTGAGGAAGCGAATTTCCCATGCACTGAGAGCACTGTGCCGCTGCTGCTGCTGCTGCTGCTGCTGCCTGCCCACCCCAAGGTGAGCCCTGAACCCTTGCATCAGGGCCTTAAGGAAAAGGGCAACAGGGGAGACCTATGTGGAGACCAGCTGGTTGGGCCATGCAGATCAATTCCTACATTGTATTTTCAAAATACTCTTTCAATATCCTTTTTAAATGAAAAGTTGTACCCACTCAGAGGGCACAGCAATTCAGATATGTGGTACCTTAGATGGCAAATAGCACAGCATCCTCTTCATGTAAAGTCCTGGAAGGTTGAGGCAAACGCAGAGAGCATAGCGTGGGGACCACAGGGTGGGAAGGAAGGGAGGAGAGTTTGTCCAAAGGGATTAGAGGTTCAGAATGGAAGAATCAGGAAGAGAAATATGGCACAAAACTTTTATCTGCACAAGTCACTAATAGAGGTGCTCTCATATTTCTTCCTTCTTGGAGTGTGGAAAATGAAATGGTCCAATAGAATTCTAGCCCTGGTGAGGAGCCACGGAAGGGACCCAAGACAGACCGCCAGAGTGCCAGCTCCCTCCAACACATGGCAACAGGCTCCTGCATCGATCCTCCAGCTATTGGGTCTAAGCTGCCACTTTATAACTCCTCCAGCTTACTTAGCCCCAGCACTATTGTTGGATGAAGAGGTGGTCGGAAGACAATGTACCCAGTGACTCTTTACCTTCCCAGCTTTGGTTGTGCTTGTAGGACCACTCACACTGCATGGAAAACAGCAGCCTCTACCACCAGGAAATGACTTCATACCTGCTCATCATCTTGGTCACTTTAACCCTCCAATTTCTTCTCTGGCTGCCTTTTTGAAAGAACAGCAAGACCTGTGTAAGTCCTGGAGAGTGGAGATAGGTGAAGGAGATAAAGGTGACTAATTGGGAAATAGGATGGAGACCGGTAGAGGGGAAATGAGAGGTGGTGTAGAATTAGGAATAGAGTCTGTCCTGAGGAACTTCTTGTCAACAAAGGAACATGAAGGAGATGTGTGTGTTTCTCTGTGACAGGGGCCATGGACAAGCTAGAGCAGGAAGAAACCTCCCCTAAAGTGCAGAGTGGGAGGGAGCTAGGAATAGCCAGCAATGAGGAGGAGAAGGCCTGCTCTGATGGTTCCTAGCATGTGTCAAGGCACACAAGTAGGATGCTGTCTTGGAAATAACATCCTGTTCTTTCCTACAGAGCTGGGGTGCAGCAGGAGAAAGATGCAGGACTATCAGTCAGTCCGGTCCTCCTCAGTGCTGAGTAAGTCCTGTCTGTTAAAGTCACCAAGAGAAGCACTTTCTTTATTCTTTCAGGTTTTATTTGAGAAAGCAAAATGGCCTATTTGAACAACAGTCTTGGTGTGGTGCAACAGGAAGGATCCAGGCTGGAAATCTGTGTCCTGTGTGATGATATGTTAGGGCTACAGGTTCCAGTAGCCATCCTCCAGGTTAGGGTCTCAGCTGTCATCTTCCCGATTCTTCACCTCACTGCTGCCCCTGCACTGTTGTTGAACATTCCTGAGAGTCACATGTAGCATCGACCCAATGAATGTCTACATCCCTCATGGTTCCTGTGGGACCAGGGTCCATGGCATCTAAAAGGGCTGCCTCTGTCAACAGGACAGACTCGCACACAGGTCTCAGGCTTCCCTCATCCTTGATCTCTTTATCACCTCCAAACTGCTTTCTGACTGTCTTTCAGAGGAACTACAGCAACTATAAATCCACTGGGAGATGGGAGGATGGAGATAAGGGGAGGGACAGGGGAAAGGAGGTGAAGAGGAAGAAGAGGAAATGAGAGGACCTTTGGAGAGGGTCAGAATGTGTCCAGAGGAGATTACGTGAAATGAGTCAGGAGAAAAGGATGTTGTCCTGGGTAGGGGTCTTGAGGAAGTGAGACCAGGAACAAATCTCAAGCAGAGCAGAGTGAGACTCTGGTTTCAACTCTGGCATCTATTGTCAGCCATGAGGAGGGAAGGCCCTGTGCTGATCACTCTGAGCATAAGTCAAGGTAGAGAACTATGAGGCTGCTTTGGAAAGGGATTCCCATTCTGGGTTTCTGATGAAGGGTGTGGTTAGAGAGAAGGGTGGCTCCATCATTCAGTGGGGTCCTCTACTGGTCTTGTCCATCATGGCCTTTGGCAGATCTTATGACATCTGTGTCTTTGTCCTTATAGGCTCCTTTATCCAGGCTTCCCATGTTGCCTCCCACCTCCTGATTCAGAATCTTGCATCATTTACCCATGTCATGGATAGATTTGTACCTGATATTTGATCTACGTTACTATTGTTCTGCTCCAGCATGGGTAGGTAAGTAGGCATTGCCAGCCTGATGCTGAGTATTGCCTTTACAAGGCCAGCATTCATATGACTGTTTCATGACCAATGCCCACCACTGGGGTCAGGCTTAAAGTAAACCTTGATCATCACCAGGAGCTCTAATGACAGCCTCTGGTGCAGAGTGAAGCAATGGTCAGTGTAGGGTCTGAAGTGGATTCCAGGACACCTTCCAGGTAGGAAGCAACTCACTGACTTGACAAGAGGAAATGAACTCAACAGAGACTCCAGGATACTAGTCTGTGTGAATCATGCACCTGAAGGTAAGACTGAGTACAGTAAGTATCTGTTTGTGGTAGAAGATGAGTCTCTGAAGTCTGGTCTTGATGTGGTGAAATGATCCCATGAAGTTCCCTGTGCCAGCAGCCCTGACACAGAGGGAAAGTTATCATTGATTTGCTCAACTGAAGAGCAATGGGAGACTGAGATACTACAGAGGTGTGACAAGGGAGGAACCAGCTTCTCTGCTGTAGTTGGCCTCCAGCTCCGTTCTGACCATCTGACCCTGGCCTGTTAGCAAACACTGATGAATATTAAAGGCTTTGGATTTATCTTCCCAGCAGGATGATGGCCAGCTTGTACTGTCACTTACTTCTAGAACCCTGTCTAAATCTGTGTTCTGAATAGGCTCGAAATCTGTGTCCTGTGTGATGATATGTTAAGGCTACAGGTTCCAGTATCCCATGTGCACACAAGAAGACCCAGTCAGCTTGATTAGAGAGAGAGAGAGAGAATTTTTTTAAGTTTGTGGGTATCACCTGGTGTCAGACTATGTTTCTGTGGCCTATCAGTGAAGGAAGGTTTTAAGACATGGTTGAGGAGTCTGTTCAATTCTAGAAATGAGATAGGGAAATTTCCTGAATACTGATTTGGGGTATTACTTTTTTTGAGGTTGGTTCTCACTCTATAGCCCTGGTTATCCTGAGAAACTCTGTGTAGAACATGCAGCTCTCAAACTCACAGATTGACCCCTTTCTCTGCCTCCTGAGAGCAGGAATTACAGATATGGACTGCCATGCCTGGCTTCAAGTACTGGACAGCATCAAATGTAAATTCCTCCAAACATTTGAAGCAGAAGAAGACAATTCTGTGCTTCTTTCATCCTGACAGGGTCAGGGATTGAACTGAAGGTTCTGTCATCCAGGATGGACTACAAACAGCAGCAAAGTCCAAATCTAACCTTCAGGATAGAAGTCTATGTCCACCAGTAAAGAGATACCTGGAGGTGAGAACTGCTGTCATGAATTCTTCTGGGGACCCTGGTCAGTGGGCTGTGGAAGGTATGCCCTAGCTGACACATCCTTGGAAACAAGGCACAGAGCATGCAAAGGCTACTCTCTAACCCTATTTTTATAAGATCCCCACTGCAGTCCAGGCACAAATCCAATGACTTCAACCTGACCAATCAGGAGAGTTCAGATTGGCTACTTGGTCTGATGGATTGAGTTCTTTCCATTTGACACATAAGATCACAGCTGATGACTCAAGGTGGGTCACTGAGACAATTGGTTCCTGTCTTGGGATGTTGAAGGTAGGTCTTTCACTTTAAGGACACCAGTGGCAGAGGCAGTGCATGCAGCCACATATTCTACATAGGAGATTCCAGGTCTACTCATCTGACAATCAGATTCTGTCTGCTTGTCTGCTGATTGCCATGGCTCCTCTTGCTTATGGTTCCCACATAGCTTTAGTTCCTTGTCAAAACCACTTTGGGTTGGGTTTTAGGTCACTGAAAATTGTTGATATTCCTTGGCTAATGGAGAGTCCAGGCCTGCAGGTTTCTGAATCCTGAACCAACTAGGACTCTGTGCAGCCCATTCTGAACATTCTGTGTTGGTAGAGGTGATCAACCGATCCCAAGAACATTGTGTAACATCCCAGGAAGACCACTATCTAATTCCATGTTCTTAGTGTTCTGTTGTTCTTGTTCTGGCCCCTACAAACCTCCAGATTTTTCATATGAAAGAAGAAAGTGATCTTTGTCCTTTGGGACATGCCTGTCACACATAACACAGTCATTCTCTGTTGTATCTGTTTTCTGAAAAATGTCTTAATTTTATTCTTGAGGGTGAGTATGAGCTCTTGAACTGTATGCTTTTCATCTATTTATTTATTTATTTTTCTGATGATTCATTCAGTTAGTTATCCATTTATGTATTCATTCTATGTGTCTTTATATCAGGTATCTTGACCACATTCATGTCCCTATCACTTCACATCCTCTCTCCATCCCTACACCTGCCCCAAGAAAAGAAAAATTAAGAGGAAAAAAGAAAAATAAGACATTTTTTTGAGAACAAGTTTCTCTGTGTAGATTTGTGCCTTAACTGGAACACACTGTGTAGCTCAACCTGTCTGGAACTCACAGAGATCGGCCTGACTCTGCCTCTCAAGTGGGAATACAGGTGAGTGCCACCATTGCTTGGCAATAAGACAAAATTAAAAGAGGAAGATATAAAGATTTCCTCATGGAAGCTGCAGTGATAGAGTGTGACAGAGTGAGTCACACTTTGAACCTCTGTGTCCATGTATCTTGTTAGTGCTCATTGCAGAGACACTGGTCTGCTCCAGGCCTTGGGTTTCTACTACACTAATTTTGTATTTGATAGACCTTGTGTTTCTACTACACTAATTTTGTATTTGATACTGTCGTCTGTCCTTTGCAATTGGCACATTAACTTGTTTCACTGTATGGGCATGAAAATTTCAAACCCTGACTTCAAAAGCACCAGTGCCACAGTACAAACCCGCTTCTAAATAAAATGACAAGGTTGATCTGGAGATGGAGAGCAGATGATGAGAACCAGAGATGGCAGAGGCAACAGGAAGAATTGACTAAGGGAGGGATTTGGAGAGGATGGAATAGAGAGAGGGAGGAGCCATGAGGAGAGGAATGCACCGTAGGTCTATCTTAAGTGCTGCATTTTTCAAGTTCCCTTAGAGTCCCTTTCACATGTCTGTCCTCTTTAAAGTGATGAGCTCTATACATCAGGAGACACAGGGTGGTGATTTCGAGGTGTGGATTGAGACAGCAGAAGTAGGAGCTCTGCAGGAAGTCCAGATGGCAGTGTGCCCACTTCCCCAGCATGAAGGGTCTGTGTCCAGCACAGGACGAGGTAAGCCAACTAAGACAGGTTTCTCTCCAGGAAACCCTAGATATCAAGGAAATATAACCCAGGGCTGGTGTTTCACAGCATCCTTCTCTGAGGGGGACATGAGCCAATACTAGGTACAATCTACCCATGACTGTGCAGACCTTGTGGACCAGTCTGCAGGGGAATAACTAGCAGTACTCATTAATCTACCCACCCTTAAGATGTGTGGTCCTAGTGAAATGTTTCCCCACATGAGGGAAAGGGAGCTCCTTCTTCTCCTTCCTCTTTCTCCTTCTCTGCTGTTGTATTTGCAGCCTCATTTATCCCTGTGTCCCGTCCATCAGAAGAGACACAGTCCCACTGCCTGCCGGTCTAGTTTATTTGTCTGTGAAGGGGCCTCACTGTAGAAAGTTTTATCAGAACCATATTTGTCTCCTAACAGGAAAGTGACAGGAAGCTGGAGGAAAATGGGGACCACATCGGATGGGATGCTGGGACTTTGCTCCACTTTGGATGTGAGTGGGCCTTACCTAGCCTATTGCACAGTGGTCAGAGGTGGGGTCAGCACTCTTAAAACTACTTTGTACCAGGTCCCACTGGGTACAGTGGTCAGGCCTAGACAGCCTTGTTGACCATACAACTATGGCTTCCAGCTAGGCTGACTGCTTGCTTGTCCTGCTGGGATAATTGTCTAAAGTGTTGTCAGGTGTACCTGTCAATCAGACAACCTCTCCATGCAGTGAAGGATGCCACTCTGATGGGGATGAATGCCAAGGCATATCTGTGTGCATCACATGGCTGAAAGCATCACTGAGACCACCATATAAGAGCCTATAGTAGATGTTTAGTTTTTTGTTTCTGGTCTAAACTTGACTCTAGCTTAGAGGTTAGGAAGAATGAGGCTGATCAGGTAGGCCTGCCTCAATCCCAAGGGTAGGTGGTCATTGAGCTGTGTCTAGAGGACCAAAGAGAGAGAGAAAGTAATAGATGAGGAATGGGTATAGAAGGATATTGAGATAGCTTGGTATGGTGGCAATCTCTTCTCTCTGATCCTAACAACAATGAGGAGGAACAGTTTGAATCAAAGATGGTGAACATCTTCTCACACCTGTATGCTGTTACATCCATTCTGTCACCTGCTAGTGACTTAGTTTGTGTTGGGTTCCAGAGCCTGGAGTATGGGGATTCATACAACCTAGCTTGGGAAAATATCTAAGAGACAATGACCTGCTTGCTCCTCAGCCCATGGGTGGTCTGTTTGTCAGAGAGTGACCACCAAGGCAGGCTTCACCCTGCTGCACTTAACTGAAACCAGGGCCCATGGAAGGGAGTCTTGGGTACTGTGGCCAGGCATAGAATCTCTCAGGAGACACAGCCCATGTGGACCAAAACTCCAAGCATTGGTAATGATGGTCTCGAAGAATGTGACTCTCAGGAACCAGAGCTGATTCCCAAGAGCCAAGGTCAGTTTACTTTTTTTTTCTTTTTTTTTTCTTTTTTTACTTTTTTTATGGTTTTTCGAGACAGGGTTTCCCTATGTAGCTGTGCAAGATGAGTTTAATGTGTTTTTATATCAGTGGCCACTGCAGTGAGAAAATGGTGGCTTCTAGATGTTTATGTGAGATAAATCAGCTTATGATGAGGCTTAAACACTTAACACTCTCCTTGCCCCACTTCTTTCTTCCTGTGGACATCAGGAATAGGTGCAGAGAATACATGCTATTTGTAACAATATCTTTCCACACACTGCCCCAAAGTTCCTCAGTAATACTCTCCTCCCAGTGGAGAAAAGTGAGTCCTAGTGATGCTGGGTAACTTCTTCTTTTGCACAGAGCCTGACTGGTTGGGACTGTTTAAATTCCTCTCAGGTCATTGACACAGACAAGGTGACTAGTGTGGTAACATCCTGGGTCTCTTTTAGTCTCAGAGGCCAACTCCAGAACTCTCGTTGACATCCTTTCTTTCCTCAGATCTGCAGGTTCTGCTGGATATGTTCAGACAAACCTCATCTTTACCATATGTGCATCCTGTCTCATCTAGGCAAGTGTTCAGTGAGCTGGGTCCAGAAACCACAGCATCTAGAAACAGACATGTTGGTGAAACTGCATTTCCTTCTTGATCCTAGAGCCTGTTTATGGGACAGTAGCAGAGCAGCTAGGACAAACCAATCCCTGCAATCAGGGCTTCTCAAGGAGACCCCACTGAGTTCTCCCTCAGGAAGGTCATATAGGAATAAAAGGGACATTATTGCTGCCTCACTAGGTCCTGAACTCCACAAGGAATAAACCAGCTATTGTCTGAATAAAACAGATCTAGGGTGGGGAAGGAATTTTCTGCCAGCCTCATCTTTGGTCCCACAAAACTTTTTCTTATAGGTGCCTGGCCATATCCCTATTCTTGGACCTCGAGAACTCCTGACTTTTGTATGTGCACACTGAGCATTAGTGACATGGAAAAAAAAGAGCACTTCTCACCTCTCCTTCCTAGCAGACAAGCATGCCATTGTCCGAGCTCCAGAGGAACTCAGAGGCTGCACACAGCAACAGGAGGACATGTTGTGTAGGACAATGACATGGTTTCTCTGCCACCATCCAACTACAAACAGACTCCAAGTTAACAACACGATCTGTGGAATCTACAGGAGCATCCCCTTGTAAAAGCCGCCCAGTGGGTACTTACTGTTGAATCCTGCCCAACTTAGACCCTTTTGCATTTTGAATGCTCAGAAATTCACCTATGCCTCTCTGTCTTCACAGATAATCCAGAGAACGTGTCTGACCAGGTAAAGAAATATCTCAAAGGAGCATTGGGGATTAAATGTGCTTCCATTCCTGAACTCTAGACTGGATACCTGAGAAGGGCAGTATCCATTGACCACCTATTCCAGACCTCCACTAACATGAAGAAGGAGAACTTGAGGTCATACCCTCATCCCATCTTTCACTGGTATTAGACAGAGACAATTTACAAACAAATACTGAAGCACTTAATTAGAATTCCAACATGATTTCTATAAATTGGCATTCAGATTATTTGACCCCTGGAGAGGAGAAATCTGAAGGTATATGAATTCTTGGGTTCTACCAGTTGTTGTTCTAAAGGGGACAGATGTTTGCACTTCATCTATACACTCAGCAAAATCCAGTCTGATGCTAACACAAGATGGAACAACCAACTGGACCTAAATTTAGAAGAATGGCAGAGGACAAGAGATTCCTCCAGACCCCGGCCTTCTTCTTCCAGGACTTCCCACCAAGCCTCAAAGATCCACAAAGGGCTACGGCATTGTAATGGAGACTACACACATGGAACAGAACAGAAAGCTCAGAAACAGACCCAGTGAAATCCTGCCAGCCTATTTTCTCATAATCGCCCAGGGAAATCAAGGCAGAGAGAATGGCTTGTCCACAAATGACTGTAGCAGAAGATTTGAAAACAAACAATAAGGAAACCATGAAAAAACTGAACACAGTCACCATTTCAATTGACCCCAAATACAAGCACCATAATGTTTGCATAAAGTTATAGAAGAGAACTACATAAGTTCCTGCTGTATAGAAAGGAGGATCAGAAATAATACGGAGTAGATGAACTGTGGACTTGGGAACCCTGAAGCCACCAGCCATGAAAATAGAGAAACTGGAGCATGGCTGGAGCAGACACTCCCCCAGGACATCTAGAGAGAGCCTGGCCCCTGACTCACCCCAGCACACAACAATTCCCTGACAGTGAATGCTCTGTGTCTATGAGGAATTGGAGGTGTAGTGTGTGCTGTGTGGTGTGATGAGTGCTGAAACCTATCCCATTGTTGGGATGGAGATGAGCTGTCCAGCTGATCTGATAACAGCACTGTATGGATGGTCCAGTCAGCTGGGGAAAGCAGCAGAGCTGACACCTAGATACTCACATGATCTACCCATGACCCTCCCCTTGTTAACAACGTACATACAGTGTCAGTGTAAGGACATGAATGACACCCCTCACCCACACTCACCACAGAGTTTCTAGGTATTAGGACTAGATATTCAACTCCCTTTTGCTGTTCCAAACACAATGCTAGATTCTAGACCAGGCTAGAGATGCCTCCAACCACAATGTCCTAAGACATGGGGAAAGGTATCAGGCCCTGTTGGACACTTGACCTCCTGACAAGGACACACAGTTACTGCTTGGTCCAAACACTCCTGGAATCTTCCTGCACTGACGTACAACACTAGGTATACTGCAGTGTGTGACAATACAGCCATGCCACCTCACTTGTGCTACCAGCTGTCAGACCAGATAAACAACCCCTACATCACACACACACACACACACACACACACACACACACACACACACACACACAGCCTCTAATACACTTACTTCTAAGTATGGGCCATGCATGTTTCCAACCAATCACATATTGACTGCTAGGTATCAGCCCTTCCTGAACAAACTCTCACACACCTCACATGTATTCCTAGGTCTGGATCCCAAATGTCATCCACATAATCCTTTATTAACAGCTACTTATCAGGCCATAGAGGACACTCTCTTGCCACTGTACCCAAATACTCTCTTACTATTGGACCCCACTTGACACCCTAATATCACTGAAATTCCACATACACTGCTAGAGTTCAGGCCATCTTGAACATCACCCCTCACCACCACAATCTACAATGTTAGTATCAGGGCCCACAGGATACCACTATCCATCACCCACATATTCCTGTTGGATATCAGACCTGCTGGGCATTCCAACACTCCATGAAAACTCCTACAAGGCTAGCTGATGTTCCTGGAATGCACACATCACCCTGCAGCCGCCTCACATGCACTGCTGGGTATCAGGCTCTGCTGACACCTTCAGTGCCTCACACACACTCAAGTGTCAAGCATGCTCAGACATTACATCATCCACTGCCAACCTACTTTAAAATGAATGATCAGACCTTGACGGACACCAGCTCACTTATAAGCTGACACATACTTAGTAGGGATTCTGCAGAGCTTGACACCCCATTGTTCCATTGCTCCCCTCTGACATACAGTGTTATCTACAAACACATCTGACACACCACCACCCCTGTGACCACACATCCACTCTAGGTACCAGGTCCAGTTTGACCTCATACCCCACATTAATCGACAGCCATCAGACCATGTGGGGAACTTCTCCTCATGTAGGTCTTACACAATACCTAGCAGTTAGCTTTGCTGGACATCCTCCTTCTGCTGAAGACACATCCACACTGCTAGGCACCAGCTTCTACTGGACTCCTTCCTATGCTGTACAATGTGCTGGGTCTCAGGCTCTACTGCTAGTTACTGGGATGTGCTGGACATTAACCCCTGTCCACACCACAGTGCATATAAAGTGCTGTGTGTCAGGTTCACTTGAACACCAGGCTCCATCACACATGACATTCTAGGTATCCGACAATGTTGACACCCACCCTAACCCCCGATATACACTACTGACCCAACAAACACTGCAATTTTAAAGGCTTTGTTAGATACCTCCATCACTGATATATGCAAGTTTCTTGATTTCAGACACCACATCTCTGTTCAGATTTCAGTCATGTGTATTGAAGTACATTGTATGCATATATAATAATTGGCTTCAGCCTCACCCAAAACAGTACCACCATTCTGTTGACAACATACACTACTAGACAGTGGAATGATGAAGCATGACTGAAAATTAGGACTTTTGTGACAGCAGTATGGGTGTAGGAAGAGAGACTTATTGAATGAGGCCATTATCATGTACAATACCTGGTTGTGACTGGGGAGTCCTGAGGATGAGATACAGAGTAGGGCATCAAGGCCTCAGGCACGTGTCCAGCAAAGCCTGAAACCAAGCAGTGTGTTTCAGGCTATGTGGCAGGGGTAGGGGTGTCCAGCAGGGCCTGGTACCTAGTGGTACATGGGTGGGTTTGGAAGCAGGCCTGGGGGGCAGTAGATAGTAAGGCCTGTCATGGGGAAGTTCCTGATAGTGGGATGAGTCTCTGTGGGAGAAGCAGGGGGATGCTCTGCAGTGTATCTTATGAACACAACAGTGTATGTTGTGTGGCAGCAGTTGGGAGCTGTCTAGATTCCTTAGGACATGACATCGAGCAGTCTATGTAGGATACCTTGGGGTTTCCAGCCATGCCTGTTCAATATTAGTATATGTGGGACAGTATGATGATGTTATAAGGAAAAGTGCATGTGTTTGTGTATGAGTGTGTGTGTGCACGCATGCACTTGTACATGTGGTAATTGGTCACAGAGTGTGCTGCATTGTCATGGAGATAGCTGTCTTAGAAAAAATGAGTCAGTGACTAGGTAAATAGACCTCCAGGGTCAGTATATTATTAATGAAGTTCATCAGAGAAAGTATTTTCAAGATATGGATCTGAGGGATTTTGGAGAATAAGGGTAGAAAACAAGAAATGTGGAACTTGACAAATATAGGTCTGGGGGAGGAATTTGACTTTATTTTTAATGTATCAAGAAACCAAGTTTTCTCTTTGCCAATAGGACTAGGTGTCATCATCTGTAAGGTTTCCACACACTTAAACTGAAAAACACCCTCAAATTGCTAGGTGTCAGGTGCTACTAGGAATCCTGTCTTCTACAGCCAGAGCCAAACACACATGCCTAGGTGTCAGGTCCTGCTAGGTCAACTCTACATTCAAGAAAATGCTCCTCTACACAGTTGGGTAGCATGTTCTCCAAGAGATCAACAACAAAATGGCTAAAGCCCCATGCACAGGGCTGAGTATCTGGTCTTTCTTAGTATCCCCTTACCTACAGCCACAGAGGCCATACACAGCCCCCATATACATATAACACAAGTGTCAGGGTCTAGTATTCATCTTTTCCCTTACACCACATATACATACATGGTTAGGTCACATTTCTGATAGGAATCACCTCAGCTACAGCAGTGCCACACACCCAGAGCCAGGTGTAACATCCTGCTAGGTACCTCTTCCCCTGCATCTGAAGATCCAATACAGATACACAGCTAGTTTTCTGGAAATGGTACTCCATCCCTATTGTCACAGCCACACACTCACAAACACACTCAGGCACACATGCTTGTATGATCCCATGCAATTCTCATGAACATTCACCCAGCTGTCATGTCCTTCAAGGTCTCCCCCATTCAGCCAAAGCCCTATTTACACACAGCCTTCTGTGTCCTGCCCTTCTAGGTGTCCATCCCCTACAGCCACACTCATACACAGAGACAGACAGAGAGACAGAGACAAAGACAGACAGACAGAAAGAGACAGAGACAGAGACAGAGACAGATAGTCACAGAGTCTGAGGTCAGGCCCTGCTCTTCCCACTTCATAACAGACAAAGCTGTCTACTCAGGACTAGGTGTCAGGTCCTGATACATACCTCTTTTCCTATATTCAAAGTGCAATACTCTTACACAGATAGTTTACCAGTATGCATCCCCTCACCTATAATCTAATGCTAGGTACCCACTCTCACACTCAGAAACACACTCGGGCACGCACGCTCCTACAAACGCCTTCACACACTCAATACACTCTCAGTTAGCTATCAGGTCCTAGAAGATAGACACCATACAAGGAAAGCCCCATATACTTCAAGGTGTTGAGTCCTGTGACGTAGAGGTATCTTCCATACAACAAATAAGCACACACACACATCTCTAGGTGTTAGGTCCTGTGAGGAGTCCCACATAGAGCCAAAGCCCAAAGCCTACTAGACGCTTCTCCTGCTAGGTGTCTATTACCTACAGCCATACTCTCTCTCTGTCTCTCTCTGTCTCTCTCTCTGTCTCTGTCTCTGTCTCTGTCTCTCTCTCTCTCTCTCTCTCTCTCTCTCATTTATCTATCTACCTCTCTCTTTCCCTCTTGAGTACATGTACATGTACATCTAAGCCCATGTGCTTTTAGGTATACACTTGCCTAGAACCAAAGACTCCCAAATACATGCTATTTGACTGGTCTTTCAAGGTATTGCCTCTATTACAATGGCAAAGCCATCCCCTCATTCACAAGTACACACACACACACACACACACACACACACACACACACACGCACGCACGCACGCACGCAGTAATGCAGCAGGATCTGTTAGATTTCCAACTTCATTAGAGCCAAAACCTTCCAAACAGGGCTGTGTCAGCTTCTGCTAGGTCCATTCTTCCCTACAGCCAATATTCCTCTTACACAGCTAGGTATCATGACATCCTGAGATCCACTGCCACACAGTAAAGTTCCATGTACAGGGCTAGGTGTCACATCCTGCTAGGAACCCCCTCACCTACAGCAAACACCCCAGACACAGCTCCCATATTCATATAAGGCAAGTGTCAGGTTCTGGTATTTGTCTCTAGCCTAACACTCAAAGTTCCACATACACAAACATGGTTAGATTTTAGGATCAGCTATGTACCTTCTCCCCCACAGCAACACACTAGGTTAACACATACAAACATACAAACACAAGCACGCTCATATGCACATATGCAAACAATCATGCATACAGGCCTGTTGGAACCCTCTCCAGGCCATGAGTCCAAGGAGCTTTTCCCTAGCCCCATGAATGGAGCTATGGATTTAGGGGAGGGCTGGGACTTGGCACCTACCTCTGAGTTGTGGCATGTTGTAGAAGTGAGGGATTCCCTGCAGGACCTGACAAGTTGTCATGTGTGTATTTGTAGCTTTGGTTGTAAGGGTGGGACGACAATGCTACACTTGTACAATAGCCTTGTCTATGGGACAGCCAGGGCTACAGAGAGAGACCTTGTCTCAGAAAAGAAAGAGAGAGAGAGAGACAGACAGAAGAAAAAGAAAGAGAAGGATGGAAGGAAGAAGGAAAGAAAGAAAGAAAAAGAAAAAAAGAAAGGAAGGAAGAGAGAAAGGAAGAAAGAAAGAAAGAAAGAAAAAGAAAGAAAGAAGAAAGAAAAAGAAAGAAAGAAAGAAAGAAAGAAAGAAAGAAAGAAAGAAAGAAAGAAAGAGAGAGAGAGAGAGAGAGAGAGAGAGAGAGAGAGAGAGAGAGAGAGAGAGAGAGAGAGAGATAAATTAACCTCAAAAAAAAAAAAGGAAAATGCCCTCACAGACTTGTCCACAGGCAATCTCATTGAAGTGTTCTCAAGGGAGAATCTCTCTTCCCAGATAACCCAGCTTGTCATGTTGACAAAACCTAATCAGCACAGATAACTTTAGATTCAGGCTACCTGGCTATGCTGCCTTTGATCTTGTAGGTGTCCAAACGTGAAAATTAAATAAGCTTGCCTTTTTCTCTAAGAGCTGTGGTCTTGGCTATTGCTCTCTTCGTCTGTGGGCTGTCCTGGGCTGTTTTTCCTGAAACAGGTGGGGCTTCCTTAGAAGCCAACTTAATTTAGTTTGTTACTGTTAGCATCCTTACTTCCAACTCAGTGTATCATAATTGGCTGCACCAGCAACAAGGACATATGAAAGGAAGCACGGTATTAACTTGGTGGTGGTAGTCCACACCTTTAATCCCAGCTCTCAGGAGGCAGAGGCAGGTGGATATCTGAGTTTGGGCCTACCTGGTCTACAAAGTGATTTCCAGGACAGTAAGGATCCCTGTCTTGAAAAACAAAAAGACAAAAAAAAAAAGAAAGAAAAAGAAAAAAAAGAAAAAGAAAAAAAGAAAGCCCAGTGATGCCTGATGTGTATGCTTCTCAAGGGCCTCAGGGAACCAGCTGGCCTGTCATCACTGGCCCTGAGCCCTGTGGGTCCTCTTTATCTGTTTAGCCTGGTTATCACATACATAATTGCAAGCTCCCTTCTGGAACACGAATTCTAAATGGTTTTATATATAAAAAAAAAAAAATAAGCCGGAGCCAGATATTAGGGTAATGCTGAAAGATCAGAGAGACAAAGGAACAAGCCACTGGAGAAACTTCTCTCCACTACTGAATCCTCCGGTCCAAATGGAAGGCGAGAGATCCTATTTCTTGAGTTCTCATCTGAAAGGCACCAAATTCCTGTCTCCTCAACCCTTATATGCCTTTCTCTCTGCCCAGCCATTTCACTTCCTTCCTAGTGCTGGGATTAATGGCCTGTGTGCTTCCCAAATACTGGTAGCAAAGGCATGAGGTCTCAAGTACTGGGATTAAAGGCATGTGACTCCCAAGTACTGGGATTAAAGGTATGTGCCATCACTGTGTTTAATCTAGTGGCTTGTTCTGTTCTGATCTTCAGGAAAATTTTATTAGGGTTCAACAAAATATCACCACACCCTTCTTTCTCTTCTTCAGTGTCTCCAAACTTCCTTGGTCTTGTTTGTTTGAGACAGAGTCTCACTATGCAGCTCTGGCTGGCTTAGAACTCACAGAGATTCGTCCTCTCTAGCACTGGGATTAATGGCATGCACCAACGGCCTCGTCCTGCTAGACTTTGCCTCTAACCCTAGCCTCTGTTCTCACTGCAACGTCTGCTTTCCATCTTGAGCTCCTTTCCCTTTGCACCTACAGAGAGCTGGGTCCTGCCTCCCTCCGATCTCATGGGACTGCTGAAACCCAGGCTGCCGGACCACCTGCTATGAAAACAGTTCCACCGCTCACTTAGGGAATTCGGCTCCACCCAGAAACTCAGTTTTAGGAGTGTGGTATGAAAGCTGGGAGAGCCACCTC